CACCTATCTCTGCTAGCGATCCCTGAACTGGGGGAAGATAGGTGCTCCTGCCTAAATCATATGTGGGACCTAAGCTGGTAGGAGTGCTCAGAGACTGCTTGATTCCACAAAGTGACAACAACCTTCTGTATAAACTTTAGCTGAATGGTTAGCACACTCACCTGTGATGTGGGAGACCACTGGTTCAAGTCCCCCTTCTACCAGGGGAGGAAAAGGGATTTGAACAGGGATCTGCTACCTCTCAGGGGAGCGCTCTATTCATGGGCCTATAGAGTCATTCTCTTTCTCTGGCCCAATTTAATTGAATAACTAAATAGTAAGTGGAAGAACTTCAACAGAAGAGGTTGAGAGAGCCCCACGTCAAAATACTCCATTGCCTAGTGGTTAGAGCATTCATCTGCAAAAAGTGGCAGATCTCTGTTCAAATCTGAATGTGTGTCAGTTAGAACCTATGTACCTGATTTGCCATTTGAAATCCAATTTTACCTGAAGCTTTTCAGGCCCAAATCCTGTATTCCCATTGAATGCAATGGCAAAACTCCACCGGCATTAAAGAAAACAGAATTTGGCCCTCACTGCTAGCTTTATGTCTCTTGGTACTCTGAAGTAATCATCATTGTAATGGGGCTTTAATAACACAGAGTTCACAGAAATTTCAAAATACCCACCCCCTCAATGGCCACCACTATCTACCCCCCCCCAAATGAAAAATTCATGCATGGAGCACTCTGTAAATTACTAGATTTTAATAATAATTTAAGTCCTTTGCATATTCTGGAAACCATGTAAACATCTAACAACTTTTTTTCCAGCTTTTCACAAATAAAATTGTCAGCCACTTTGTTTGTATTTATTCCTGGAGTAGAAACAATGACCAAGCAATTAATGTAATGTAATGTTTCTGATTTTTCTCTTTAAACAAAAGACAGACTAGCAATGGGTTTCAAATACATATACAGATCATAGTACATTGGAAAAGGAGCTCAAAGGTGGCTCTTAGAAATGCAGGCTTAAATAGAAATATACAGTCTACAAGAATCTTTACAGTTTAGAAAAAATGTCAAATGTTGATGTCCAAGTAAGAAGTCCAAAGGGAATGAGTGGTGGCAGCTGTATAATGATGTCATCCCACACGCTTTCAAGGAGACAGTGCACTCTTGAGCTTTCTACTAAATACAAGCAATGCTTGAGACCAAGGAGCAGATTCTCATCAGTGCTGCAGCATGAACTGCTGCATAGCTTGAATGCATGCACAGCAGCTGATCTTGAAGATACACAGGGACATGAGCTGCATAGTTCTGGGGGTGAGGCAGTCCAGAATCAATCTCTACATATCATAAAAGGTGCATCACAGATAACAAAACGTAACTAGTCTGGCTCTTTTGTTTTGATATAATTTCATTTAGATAAAAGTTACGACTATAAATTTAATTACACATACAAATCATCAAAAGGAAACACTACTGTATTTTGTACTTTTCTGCACCACTATATTTTAAAATGCATTCCACTGGAGCTTATAATACATCTGCTAGCAATTCATATTGTAAAAGGTGTAAGAAATACACGAGCCTGTATAGCATCTAACCAATATTATTACAATTATCTCATTAAGCTTACATCTGTTACACTTGTTTTCAATTACATTACCAATCACAGAATTCACAGAATTCATTAAGAAACTCGTTATGTACATCAAAATATTCAGCAACACAATATAATATAAAAGATCTAAGAGTTCACCCCTTGTGTTAACCTGAATTTGTTCATTCACTCATCTATATACAGTATTATTGCTTAATCAGGCCCCAAACCTAAAAGAATAAATGGCTCCAGGAGTTTTTCTCCACTTGTTTTAATAACCATCTTGAAACTGCTCTCCATATTTGAGTGGTTATATACATGGGCTTAACATCAAAAGAAAGTATCCCCCTTTAAGCAAAGCCAGATTGTACAAACACCTCAATATTCTAAACTGTTAAGGCAGTATATATACACAGGAGCTGTTCAGGGAGTAAAAATCCATCCACAGTAAGTGTAAACATCCTGGACAGACACTCATTTTCCTTTTGCGGACTAAGTTTTATGTGTTGCCTTCATTTTCTGCATAAATCATAAGTTAATGAGTTATATCAACAGCACTTCAGCAAATGCCTGGAACATCAGAATTCTTTTATAACAATTTATCATGCAATGCAATAGATTCTAAGTAGCAGAAATACCTTAAATCTCAGTCTATGAAGTTCTCCCTCTTCACTTATTCCTTCCATATTCTAACAACGTCTAACACCTATGTTCCAATAAGTTTTACATTAAATACGATCACATCTCATGGGCTGCATAAACTCAGTTTTCAGTACATTCCATGGCTAGAATTTTCTGATTTTCTAGTTTTATATTTAAAAAAACTGGAGATTGCTCAATGGATCCCTTAGGTCACTGTGTGTTGTTAGCGCTACAGCTTTACATATCAATGATTCTGGTTTCCTCAGGGACTCTGGCACATTCGCCATGTTTTGTACAAGATCCCTGAGAACTTATCACAGCATCAGTAATTCACAACTCAAAACATGTTCAAGTGCTTGACTCTACATGAAGTTCAAGCTAGTTTCTTATTGTTCTCTGTGTTGTGCACCAATGCGAAAAATTCCAATATGAGCTTTGCCGTTTTCCTGGGCCGCTCCACTACCACAGAGTGTCCACAGTTTTCCAAAATATGTACCTGACAGTCAGAAATAGATTTTGCTAGAACATCTGCTCCAGAAACATCCAGAACCTGAATGACAAAAAAAGTAGTAAGAACCAAAGAAAAAAGGTCTCAGAGTTGAATCTAAGTTTTTATTGGCTGTTCCATGACCCTGTTTGAACCATCTCTTGTGTATTTTTACATCAAAGTGGGATACTAAATTACTATGGAATGCATTTGTTTCCCCACATCAGATTCTTCAGGAATAGCTCATATCCAGGTGTCTCCTCTGGCCCTCCTGCACTGTGTACAAGCCAGGCCTGGTAGTGGGAATAATTGAGGCACTGACCACATGCAACAGAATCCTACTGGTGACAATTTAGGCACTCTCTGTGCATGTCTGTGCACACGCATGCGTGTAAGTGGGTAAATCATATACCTCTATCCCCTGCAGCACAGTTTTATAAACAAAGTGCTAACATGGTTTGCAGACCAAAAAAAAAAAAAAAAAAAAATCCTTGTTCATATTGATGCGGGAAACCATTCTAGAACCCCAAGTGTAATGAGCACTGTGGCTAGCAGAGTTCTGCTCCCAATGTGAACGAAGTCTGAATGTTCCCACCACTTACCCAGTTCCACTGACAATGTTCACCATAGACGTCTCTCCGGTCCAAATGCAAATCTCTACTTTTATTTCTATTTCATCTGAATTTCCCTATCACTTAACATGAACTATGAGCATAAGGAAAGGATTTAAACAGACTAGGTTTCTCTCTGGCTCCCGTGCCTGGTTTAGAGGTCTTGTGGCAACTCAGGCTACTCTATAGCATCCTCAGCCACAGTTTGAGCTCTGTTTCCCTCTTAGCTGTTATCAGCAGGGGCTCCAGAAGCACCTTCTCTCACCAGTGCTGGTAGCACCTCTCCTGTCAGAAATGTCTGTCCCCCCCTCTGTTAGGGTAACTAGGGAAGATGACTAGTAGGATCCATAAAGCCCACACTTCATGGCAGGCAAGCAGATGAAGGGGAAACCAGCCCTCATCTGGCAAATTCTATTCAAGGTGGACATGACCCCACTGGCAAAGAGAGGTAGCCTATGGGTGGTGTAGGAGGGGAAGCAGGGACTCCCAGGGGGAAGGAGTTATCACTAGGGTACCTTTCACAAGCACTACACTCTTTAAAAATAAAAAAATAATGAGTTCCAAGCTCATCACTCCTTTTTATTTTAAAATCCATCCTATTTCCAGCTGGTTCCAGACCACTCACTGGTTCTGACGGTGTTACATTTCCCCTTCTATCCCACGATATAGGCCCCAATTTTGAGTTCCCGAATAGGTGTGGTTGGTGGGCAGAGCAGGGCAGAAGTGGCTCTAATCTACCTTTCAGTCCTTGGATTCCAGGGCTGTTTGGGAGCCTGCCTGGCTCCTAGTATAAGTTAAAGCAACCTCACAATTGTTCTAGTTCAAGCTCTGCTCATGGTTTCTTATGAGCCGTGGGAAGCAGAAGAGATCCAGAGAGCATAATACACTGGTCTCTCTCCCTCCCTCCCAACCTCCTCCCACCTCTGAAAGCCCTCTATGACGGGGACTGGCGTAGGGCTACTCTGGCAGGGGAGCTCCCTATCCCTGCAGCACTTCCACCACCTTTCGGCCACCACCGCCGCGTAAAGGGGCTCTGGCGCAGGGAAGAAATTGACATTATAGCCTCCCTTTTACATAGCTCCGCCCCTGCTTATGTCTCAGCCGGTTTTCCTGTATTCCTTTGCATGCATGTACACACAATCTTCTCCTCTCTCCTTTGCAAATGTGTGCACGCACATGCTCCTCTCCTCACTCCTTAACATTCCCTTGGTCTCCTTCCCAGTCTTGCATCCTTGTGCCTTTCTTTTCCTCTGCCGCCTACCCTAGGAACAGCCTCTCTCTTCCTCGTTGCCAAGACAACTCTTTTTTTGCTTCAAAATTCTTCTTCCAAGCCCACTTCTTTCAGTGAGCTTTCCACTAGCTGCTCCCTCCCTCACGACAATTAAGCAGACAGAATCTGGGCTCCTGGTAGCCAACTCCCTTCCCACATCTGCTCTCCCTGTCCCCTTTCCTTTCTGTTGTCTGTTCCCTCCTGTCATCCTTCATAGACTCCCGTATGACTGGGAGATCCCTGGGGAAGACAGGGACATTGTGTTCTTACTACTGGTCTGTAAAGCACCATGCAAGTCACTAGTGCTAGCTGCTTATGTAACATTCATACAGATGGAAATGGAGCACCAATCCTTTATAAAAAAAAAAAAAAAAACAGCCCAGCAGCAGCAGTACCTGATCTTGTTTTCCCCAGATGATCTGCGTTGGGGCTTTGATCTTGCTCATGTTTTCATGAAGAGCGTGTCTGGACTTTTCATCTGCAATTTCTAAAAATACTTTTCAGCAGAGAAGAATTAGTCAAACACAAGTGGGATTTGTTCCATTTACTGCTACTCAGCATGGCCCGAATCCTGAGTGAGTGATTTCCTTTATTCCTTCAGCAGGATCCTGTGGCCGCCAGTGAGGGTTTGCCTGAATAAGGAAAACCCGCAAGAGGGGGCGACAGTGGGAGGAAAACACTGCTGTGTTCTCAAGGGGACTGTACCCCAGTTGGCCCACGGGGGAGGCAGAACAGGATATACGGCCTGCCCACAAACCACAGATCACTCCAGGATCCATGAGTGGGAGGACAGCATGTCTGTGACCTCTAGCATGACAAGATTCTCCAACGGCCCCACTCTGTTAGCAGGCGTTAATTAAAGCTGACCAATGATTAAAGCAGATACAAACAGGAGGGGGGAAATGAACTGTCCAGCCGAGGAGGAGGGCTGCTATATTCTTTTAATGAGAAGGGGAGCGGCACTCCCCTCCCCATTACTTCCCCCTTATTTCAGCCCCTGAAGCGGACCCACCAGGGCAGGTGCAGCTGCTCTATCACACCTCCCTTACATTCAGAAGGGGGAGCTAGGGCCTGGAATAGTCAGGCCCTGGGGGGCAGCCAAGCCTATGGAGAAGGATTTGGCTAGGGGGTGCAGGCAGGGTTTTTCTGGAGTAAACATTTGATTAATAAACCTGAGGGTTTGTTTTCTTTTTCTCTTTTAGGGGGAGGCCCTCTGTGAAGAATGTGTAGTTTGTTTGGAGCTGGGTGGGGACTCTGTCAGCTCACAATACTGCTGGGCAGGGGAAAGACGGGTGCAGAAGAGACACATAGACTCTGGCTGTGTCACTCCACCCTTAGCTCCTCACAGGGCTGGTTGCAAGAAGGGGGGGGGGGGGTGATGCGTGCCCCATGACACTGTCCCTACACACTCCTCCACCAGCAGGGAATCTCCACACTGATGAAGCATCCACCACAGGGAAACCCTGTTGTGGAGGCAACTAGGTCCCCTTCTGCATGAGGGGGGATAGATTTGTACACACACTGGGTACTTAGGATACAGATCAAGAGACTTTGTGTTTGGTTCTAGCAGAGCAGAACCAGCGCACTTACATTTCCGGTAAAATTCGTTATGCGGGATGCGAACATCAACAAGGCCCTGCAGGATCTATAAATAAATAAATGTGTATCAGGGTAAGAGAACAGACACACCACACACGGCCCACGCGCTGCCACTCAGGTGACAGCACATGGAGAAGTTTCCTGGGGACACTGGACAAGACTGTGCCCAGAATCTGATTCTGGGACCTCTTCTGGTCTGTCCTTTTGTGCGTTACACAATGTCATTAAAGCACAAGCTTACTTGGAGACACCTTCTGACGACAGGTTATTGCCGTAATGCCTGGGAAACAAGGCTTTGTTACATCGCTGCAGAGCAAGAGAGTAAACATATTATTCACACAAGATCTGACTCCTCAAAAGGGGCTACAAACTTGTAGGATAAAAAGGAAGCAGAAAAAATGTCCTTCATATTGTGCAATTGGAATTTGTTATCAAGCCAGACTATGCACTCTTGCCAGGTTGCCTCAGGAGTTATCATACATTTCTTTATTATTCACATAAAAGTAATACTTCTCATTACCTTACCTTGGCATTACTTTACATTTCCTCTTCTCCTATTGATTAATCAAAAACTTCCTAAGGAAAACATATTGCTAAGTTCCTTTTTCCTCACAATGGAACAATTAACATTTCCATTGAATTCGCTAAAAAAAGAACAAACAAACAAGTCGCTTATGTACTGGATGATAACTTTTCGTCTATCTAGCTTTTCCTGTTATCTATATATACTAAAAGCATCCAGACTTCCCACCAAGCTGCCAAAGAATTTAGATCCTTCCAACAGGAAAGCATCAGGCGAGTATGGCTGGAAAACACAAAAGGAAAGTGGTCTAAACCACTAAAGATACTAGTTAGATGCAGAAATTATTGGGGGAGGTTCTATGGCCTACTTTATACAAGAGGTCAGATTAGGTTGATCATAATGGCCCTTTCTGGCCTTAAAGTCTATGGAAAATTAGAGAGACTGTGGAAAATATTTTCCCATTAACATTCTCATCCCTAAGAGGGATAAATCTCCAGAGAAGGGCGGCACCACAGGAGCAAGAGACCCCCAGGAGCACTGACCTGACACTGTCTGCAAGGGTTGCTGTAAAGAAGTTACATTTCTGAACAGAAGCCTTCTGAAGTTTCTATGAAGTCAAAAAGATAGAAAAGCTATTGGTAGAACTATGCAAACGCCAGACCTTCTACAGCCAACGACCTGTATGTCCATTATAATCCTTCCTGATTTAATCAAACGAAATTAGTCATGAATAACATGCCCCTTTGTAAAGATCCAATTTCAGAGATACTCAAAATGAAGGACTAGTCATAAGGGTGACACCTTCCAAGTTGATTTGGAGCACAAAAAGGGGAGGAGAGAGGGATTTTGGCAGAAGTCCCACACCTTTTCATTAGCTCTTTTGGCTCCTTTCAAGAAGCATGAAGACACAAATGCCACGATTAAATTTCGGTGTATACTTTCAGATATATTTCTGCTAGGATCACATCAATGATGAATCAAAGCATGTTTGACCTAGTGAAGACTGTGGAATTGGACCTGAACAAATATAAATACAAATTTCTTGCCCTGATGGACAATTTCAAACTGTATCTTAGGGGGCCAGTATTCGGTGCAAATTGCTAACAGTTCTTTCTTTCCCATTCCATAAATATATAGCAACATTACCTGGAGAATTACACTGTTCTAAGCTACATCCTAGATTGTGCCATTTCAGTTTCATTGTCTTTGACACAACCGTTCTGTTTAAAATGCTTGGATTTCAGTGAGAGGCAAACTTGCCCTCTCACTCTCTCTGTGAGAGTTATTCTGCTTATGGCCCATCCTGGCCAAGTCTACTACCTTCTGTCATGATTAAAGATGATGACTGACTAGGATTTCTTACCTGCTGAGGTACTTTAAAGCGCACATAAGAACAAAGCTTCAGCATGTCTGCCATTTCCTCGGGCGTTGATGGAATTAAAGGAATCCTGTCAATACGTTCAGACTCTTTCAGCTCCCGCAGACGCTTAAGAAATTTGTTATCAGTTGGATATGGCAGACCTACATACGATGAACAGAAATATCCACATGCTAAAATCCAAAAGTGACAACAAGACAGCCCTTCCTAGAGATGGCAACTTGCCACAGAAGGTAGTTACTTCTGGGCGTACTGTACATTTGACTGTTGTAAACTTTCACGCAGCCATGACAGCCTCCGCTAATAGCTATGGTAATCAAACTAATAGCACTAAACACAGCGCAAAAACACACCTGCTTTGTGTTCCTCCCAGTCCCCCTTTCTTCTGAAGAAAAAGAAACCCTCTGATTTTGTCACATACTATTCAAAATGAACTGAGACCGATGAAGTGTTAATCAAGACACGGTTCTGTCCTGCAACACCTTGGCATCTCTGTCCTGTGGGAGCCTCTCATAAATGGAACCTGCCAATTTTACCGAATTGTGTGAAGTGGATGAGAGATGAGAGAACCTTTGTAATTTCTCAGCTGAACCAGAATTTCAGCTAGTTTGTCAGAGTTCTCACAAAATAACTCTTTTCATTCTCTCTCTTTCTCTCATTCCTTGGTAGATCTTGATTTCTCCTGTTTTCTAATTTCCGGAACCCTTTTTCCTAAAATTTTTTAAAAGCCTATCAAAAGGAACACTGCCATTTTCCACAGGCCACAACTTACCTACTTACAAAAAAAAACAAAACACCAGTGAATCCCATTCCCAGTTCCATCCATGGAATTAAAATTTTATGACTATATATAATATATATATTATATAATATATAACATGTACAATATAATCTATTCCTGAAAATGATGGAAGTTCAGCCAGGGGAACTCAATTACTGATTTCTATGGCCTACTTGCCTGCTTACTCCAAGGGGGGGGGGAGGAATTACACATTATACATGTATAGTATTTACCAAATGATATCTCAGCCCTCCCTACTCACCATAACTTTGACCCGATTGCTCCCGTGGCTGGTTGCCTCCCAAACACTATGCAGAGAATTTCTCACTTTAATAAAATAGGAAGTGCATTTCCTTGATATACTAACAGTGCATTACACAGGAGGAAGCCAGAAGCCACAGCAGGGAAGGTGGGTACTCAATTGCGAGTGTGGAAAGAGATGCAGAAGGAAAGCTAGGAGCATACAGTGGGTGCAGAGAAAGTCAGGATGCAATCTGACAAATACTTTACATATATTATGAATGGATGTTTGCTTGCTGGAATGGTAATACCACCAACAGCTAGTGGGCTGAATAACTCATCACATACAGGAAGATAGAAACAACAAACAAATCTCCATTTTCTATTATCTTTTTCTAATTATTTTTATAGTTAAGCTGCAGCAGGACATTGTAGGTCTCCTCATGATGTGGGACATACAATTTGCAGGTGGCAACAGCAACCTGCCAGCCAAAATGAATTCTCAGACAGGGAACTCCTGAAGCACCAGCACTTTATTACTGTATGCATCATTTGCTAAGCTATCTCTAGGTGCTGGGAAATTAACAATGAAGACTGCAGGGAAAATACAGAACCAATGGAATTAAATATTTATTATTAAGTGACACTAGGCTTTACACAACATTTTTGCAAAAATTTTCCCCAACCAGTTCTACTTCAAACCTCTTCACTAGGAGGTGACTCTTCAGGAGTCTGATTTGTCTTGTGTACCCTCAAGTTTCACCTCATTTAAAAACTACTTGCTTACAAAACCAGACATAAAAACACAAGTGTCACAGTGCACTATTACTGAAAAATTGCTTATTTTTTTCATTTTTACCCTATAATTATAAAATAAGTCAATTGGAATATTAACATTGTACTTACATTTTAGTGTATAGTATATAAAGCAGTATAAACAAGTCATTGTATGTATGAAATTTCAATTTGTACTGACTTTGCTGGTGCTTTTCATGTAGTCTGTTGTAAAACTAGGCAAATATCTAGATGAGCTGATGTATCCCCTGGAAGACCTCTGCGGACCCCCAGGGATACGTGTACCCCAGGCTGAGAACCACTGGCTAATTCATAGATGCCTGACACACACACAGACAGTTATTCACATCACTTTCTTTCTCCAGAGCAGCACAAGTGATAACTAGGTAACATTCCACTTTGCCCTTTATTTCTTGCCTTGGAATCACTAGTTTATTGGATAAGAAGCAGCAGCAGCTGTTTTGACAACAGGGGCAAACACCAAAACCTTCCCTGCACGCAGATAACGCTGTGCCAACACTCAGACACATTTGTAGCATTTAATTCCCTAGCTTGTACTGAATAGTCTGGCCAGGTATTAAGACAGGAGAGTAAGTTGATGAAATGTGAAATTCTGCATAACCAGGTACTTCAAAATTCACATTTACTGAGTAACTTCCCTTCTTGTAACAGTCTCTAAACAGCTGGAGAGAGCATGGGGGATTTAGTGGCAGATTTGGGAAGAATCAACTAAGCGATCTTCCCTTTTAGGCTTTCAGAACATGAAGGACCCAATTCTCACCTTACAGTAAGGCCTCTTTACAGCTCCCTGGCCGTGTAAAGATGTCTTAAAGCAGGGCCAATGTAATTTACACCCACTTCAAGACATCTTACGTTACCAGAGTGCTGTAGAGAGGCCTTACTGTACGCGAGGATCGGACCTGTAGAGATGAGACTACCCAGCTAAATCCCCCGCAGGTTTAAAACAGACACTTCTTATGAAGTCAGTTCAGCTCACCTCTCTTGACCCCCCCCCCCCCCGCCGCCCCCATTTCCATTCATCTCAGCCACTCCTGTCCGAGCCATACGGCTTTGTGCTCTCTCCCTTAGAAACATCACACAGAGCACAAAGGTTGACGCAGACTCTGCCTAGCTACCCAACAGTTAAGATTAAACTGTTGGCAAGAAGCATCATTGGTAGAAGGTGTTTCAATTTACAAGTTTCTAGTCAAATGGGTATTACAAAAAACTGATTTTAAGAAAGGTCTAAGGGTTTTCTTTCCACCATGCTGAAAACAGGAAGACGACACATTTAGCAATCTCTCAGTTGCATACAACACTGAACGTTTACACACACATTACCAAAACATTCAGAGCTGCGTGGGGATTTAGCCCCACAGCTAAGCCTCTGCCAGGTGCTGGGACTGGACAACAGGGGATGGATCACTCGATAATTGCCCAGTTCTGTCCACTCCCTCTGAAGCATCTGGCACTGGCCATAGTCAGAAGACAAGATACTGGTTTAGATGGGCCACTGATCTGAACTACTATGGCCATTCTTATGTTCTTAACTCATTCCAATTCCAATGGCAATCCTGGAACTAAACCTCTGTGCCTCCCTATGAAGATGTAAGGGTCCACATTTAGGATTCCAGTTACCTCTCAATGTGTCTATAACAGAAGTAGCTGCTGTGATACCAAACGCCACTACTCCGGGAGAGCCACAACCCTTTGATCTGCAAAAGCCAGTAAGGAAACAGCAGCTCTTTCGCTGGGCCTGCAAATACTCCTCCATGTTCCTGGTCCCTCCTCCTATCTACACTTCCATCTCTGCCCTCCCTCCCCTGCAACAGATGGCAAAGCTACTCCCTGCATAGCAATTTCTGAAAACCTCCACCTTGGTGTAGCATAGGCTCCAAGATAGCAGAAAGCAAAGGTGCTGATGATGTGTGTCATCCTCCTCTGCAGTGGGCATTGTGGATGGGGGGGGACTAATTAAGGCAGCTCTCTTTCTGCCCAGATTCTTCCTCCACTATGTGCATGTGTGAACATTCCATTTTAAATGTTCGCAGCTCAAATAAATTCAGAACCAACCTTTTTCAAAAGCATAGATTGTCTGTCCCCCCAGCTTCAGCCAATATTGAGCTATGCAAACACATTGGGTTTTTTTTTTTATGGTGTGTGCAGAAAACAGTCACCTTTGGGCTGCGACTAAGTATGGAACGTTTCAGCCTAAACAGGAGTTTGCTGGAGAAAGCTGTGAAAAAGGGGGCTTAGAACAGAGACTGGAATTTAGCTTTCATAGCATTTGTTATCTGACACTTCACGTGCTGTGTTCCAGGAGTACATGTACTGTTCTGTTAGAGTCTAATTAGTCTTACGGAGTATAAATAAATCTAAACTAGATTCTAAAATCTCAGTTGGTGCCAAATATTTCTTCTCACTATCTAATTCACAAAGTTTACACTGGATTCAGTACTACCTGAGGTGCTCTGGGTTCCTTTGGTACAGAGTAGATACCTAGCTACTTCCTTCCATACTCAGTTTTTATTGCGCCACTCACCTGCAGGGCATACAAGAGACAGGCTGCAAATCTCCGCTGGGTATTGAGCAGCATAAACTCCTGCAACATTTCCACCCATTGAGGTGCCGATCAGGTGAAAAGGTTTTCTGTTCAGCTTGATACATTCAACAAACTGAAATGGAAAGGGCAATGAGGCCACAGGGAGCAATTGCACAGTTACAATCAGAGTCATTAGAAAAAATAAACTCCAAAGCTACAGCATATAGTAATCATGAGGTCCTGGCAGCATTGCAGTAAATCCTAAAAGCAAAGCTAGAGCAGTGTGGTGGATCCACAGAATCTTAAGATTGCCCGTGCGTCCTCTCTAAATAAAAGGAAACGTATTACCCATGGAAGGGGTTGGCTTAACAGTGCGGAGGGTGGACATCACCATCCACAGAGCAGGGTAAGCTTCCCCACCTTGTCCCAGCAAAGTGCCTTGTCCCTGAGCAAGAGAACAAGCTTGAGAGCTACCAGAGTCGTTCGGGGTCCATGACCTGTTAGTTTTTAGCCACTGCTGAGATTGTCAAATTAGCAACAAGCGTGGAAGCAGCATCTGTGACAGGATACCTGCCCACTGGAACGGCACTGAGAACACCACTCTCCTTTCCTGTTGTTATTTTTATTGTTTCACAGGTCTGGCTGGTGCTTGAGAGAAACAAAAACACAGGTCCCTGGCCCAGAGGCGCTTACAAACTAGAAGGTTAGCAAACAAGCGTTGATGATAACTTTCAGTCGCTACTGACCCAGGCAACATTGGAACGGCTAAGGCTTAAAGGCTCTACAGGCCGTTACCAAGCCTCTGAACCATCCAGCCTCATCTACATCCCTCTTTAAAGGAAAGGAAAATAAAGAAACAAAAATAAATTGCAGTCTGATCCATGTTATAGAGAACAACAGTCCCTGTTTCACCTCCTACCACCTTCCTGCTTGGTCTTGTTCCTCTTCTCTCCTACATTCCAGCCCCATCCATCTTGATAATGCCAATAAGGGACAAGGGGGGGAAATGCAGACTTATAAAATACAAAAGTGTGGTCCCCACCTACTGTTTATTTCTGCAGCATCTTACCAACCGCCTCTCCATTTTAAGAGCTCTGCTGCAGAGATCAGCTTAAGAGAGATTTAATGCTCTCCACCGAGGCCTGATACTCATTCACATGTAGGTTCCTGTACACCATTCTGGCAGTGCAGAGGTGTTCGCATAAATAAGAATCTGGCCCAGAATATATTATATACTTAAATCAAATGTGAAGTAAAAAGCAACACAGCCACAAGGAAGGCATCTGCTGATGATGCCAAAGGAAATGGACAGAGGCACTTGGCAGCTTTTACAGAGATGGGGATTCAATACCAGTCTATAAGGTGCCACAGGACTCTGTCGCTTTTAATGTGATAGAGCGGTGCGTGAGTGACTTGGGGGGGAGGGAGGCGGGCTTGTAGGTGGTGATTCTGGATCCCTGCCCATTTTCACTGGTGGCTCTTGAAAAGATTTGTGGGTGGAGAGGAACTGAAATCAAATCAGAGTATATGACTGGGGAAAATGCCACTGCTGTGCCTCCACGTCCCGTTCCCCCACCCCACTACAGGCATTTTTCTTCAGCCCTGCCATACCCCTTAATTACAACCCTGCATGGCTCAGCCATTATGCTGAAAGGAAAATTTACACATTTTATAATCTGAGCAGCAAAGTACAAAAAAGCTCTCCCATCATACGAAGCTCCTGTGAGCTGCAGGGTTTTAAGAACTCATCTGATTCTGGGACACAGGGTTCTAGCTGTAATTTGCACACTGAATTTTCTAACGTATTCGAATGTGCCTAAAGCAGTAAGACTGTCCAGGCTAATCAGTCACGCGGTAGGGGGTTAGCCCTTGAAGGAACAGAGGGACACGTTCCCTCTGCAAAGTTCCTTCTGCAGGATGGCTGCAACTTAGCACATGAAAGAGAGCCAAGGAGCAAAGGCAATACTGGCCCATTTAGTGATCCAAAGGAATGCACAGCTGAGCTGCAGGAGGGGAGGGGAAAGGAGAAGTAAACTGCACTTGCTACAGGCCAGGAGTAGATGATTTCCCCTGCAAGAAGAGGAGAGCAGGGAAATGACTTCTCTGGGGTTTTCCTGAGGCGGCACACTCGCATGCTGCCATCTATACAGGCCTGAGCCAAGGGCACAATCTAGCCCTCCATGTTTCACCTTCAATCCTCTAAAGAGAAGAAATCCTGGTTTCCAAATCACTTCAAAGACAAATCAAACCCATATACCCTGATTGCCCAGGAAGGGGGACATGGAGAAGAACCAGCATAGAACACATCTGAGGCCATCACCTGGTGTATTCTTTTAACTTGCCCATTGATGGAGTAGTCATCTAATGATGATCGGGTAGTTCCCTCATGACCAGGCATATCAACACAGACCAAGTGCAGGTTCTTCGGAAGGAACTGCGGAAACAAAGCGCTGGGCAGTTAGCCTAGAGAAAGATGCTATGAAGGAAACTGGTAATTACAGGGGGGGAGAAACTGATTTCCTATTAGAATCTCTCTGGGAAATGTTGTGCTGATTAGCACAGTGAGGCCAATGGCTGCACCATATTACATTAGTTCACTGCAAGTTGGTATTGTCTTTTATAAGCTTAAAGAAGTTTTATTGTTTAAAAAATAGAATCCAAGAAAAAGAGAAGGGGAGGGAAAAGGGGGGAAAACAGGGGAAAACAGGGACTGTGTTATGAATGTTTGGTATGTGTACACCCAGTCTGAGAAGTGATCAAATACCTTGGGCTAGATTTCCTGCACACAAAGCTTCTCTCTCTCAGCACAGCCTTGCCACCGCACAGAGATGGTTTCCAGCAGAGCACAGGTAGCTTTCCCTTTGCTGCTTTCCCTCGGAGATGTTGCTGGGAGAGAGCAACTTTAATTCCTGCTGCTGGCTCCATAGGAGCTCTGCAGGTGGGAGTTACTGTGGGGAAGTGTGAAATAAGTACCTCCCATAATCATCCCATGTACAGGTTCACTCTGGCCAGTAACACCTCTTTTGGGGTGGTGCAAAGCCCCTGAAAATACCTCCAATGTTAAGGAGATGAAGCCTGTTTTCTGAGACCACAACTTCCTCTCCCCAAGCAGATTTTGGGTCTTAAGGGCCTTCCACAGGGACTCTGCCTAGGTGCTGGCACAGACTAGAGTGCGAATCTAGCCCCGTAGATTAAATACTGGAAATGACCTATTCACCAGGATTATTATACACAGACTCCAGCTGTTAAGAAAAGGCTCCATCCTATTAAGTACAATTTAAGGGCCTGTGACATACAGGGGGTCAGACTGGATGACCTGATGGTCCCTTCTGACCTTAAACTCTATGGGCATGTCTACACTACAAACTTCAGTCAACCTGTGTTAGGTCGACTTACAGCCATTGCAGTAATTACTGAGGTGGCCGATGACCACACTACCCTCCTTGTGTTGATGGTGCACGTCCTCACCAAGAGCACTTCCACCAACTGAAGAGAAGCAGCCCACCACCGGCCCCGAGCTCCAGGCAGGAACCATGAAATTGACAAGCATGACATCCAACAGCCAACGTAAGTAACACAGCGTCTACACAGACACTGAATCACCCTATCTACACCGACATAAGCCTTTCATGGAGGTGGAGTTATTATGTTGATGTAATAGGGCACTTACATTGGGGGGAGCAAGGCTGTAGCATGTACACTGACATTAGGCAGCTTACGTTGACCTAACTCTGTAGTATGGAACAAGCCCATGACATTATTAAGTCTGGAAGCATAAATCCTCTAAACTTTGAATGACAAAAGGGGTGGAATGCATCAGATGATCAATATGTACAGTAGCTGAGGATATTTCTAATTTTCTAAAATAATTGTCATAGCTGTGATCAGTATAGCTAAGCTTCCTAATGTGCTAGCAGGAGACCCCTCTTTCACAACACCAACAGCACTGCAAGTAAAAGTCTTCTCTCGCTAAGGCGGTATCCATTTGTTAGAAAAATGGAAACATACCTTGACCACAGACAACCACATATCTTTGTGGGCTGAAAATCCATGTAACATCAGTATGGATGGTCTGAATCCAGGTCTCCCTCGATAAGAAAAACAGAACCGGTAATCATCATAGTTAGCATATCTAACCTGCATGCCCAGTGCTCGACGCCAGTACCTAAAGACAAAGAAATAAGTGAAACATGACATTGGAGCATGATCTAATAGTCCGAGCACAAGACAGGCACACAGGACTCCTGGGTTCAATTCCAGGCCCTGACCTGCTACAAGAATGCAGACTTAACGCCCAGATCCTCAATGGTATTTAGGCACCTTACGCCTACCAATTTCAATGGAAGGTTGGAACCTAAATACCTTTGTGGATCTGGGCCTCAGGGTCCAATTCTAAGCAGTACTGAACATCTCTTGCAAATACTCAGCACCACCAATCCCCAGTGAAGTCAATGGATGTTGAGGACGCCTCAGAGGATGTGCTGAAGATTAGCCTCTTTTGGCTCAGTTTACTCATCTTTAATATGGACACAAACAATTCTTTCTTACTCAGAGGGGAATTGTGAGGCTCAGTTTATATTTGAAAAGCACAAGGAGACCCTTGGGTAAAATGACACATGTAAAGGCAAAGTATGATGGACATGTAATGTCAGGAGTTGTTACGCTGGCTCATTTAAGTTCAATGAAAAATATCATAGAGAGCTCAGCCCCCACAAGGGACTGATACACCACTTACATGGAAAGTGGGGCTCCAATGGTGTGCTGGGCTTTTGGGGGCCCTGTGCATTGGGGCGGACCCAATCTTTGGGGCAACAGGCACTCGGATACCCCACAGATGGGTGCTGAAAACTTGAACAGAGCAGAACAGCTAGCAAACCTTTATCAAAAAGTTTAATAGTTTGGCTGCTGCCACAGGGTGGCTGACCCTTTAATTGAAGCTGGTCCAGCGCCCCTGTGCTAGAACAGATGCTCCTGGTTTGGCCAGCTATGAGGGCTGGGCAGACTCAGAGAGGGAGGAGGTCCCTGAAGGAAACTGTAGAAGGATCCTCAGGGAAGGCAGAAGAGGGGTTTTCTGGATGAACTCCCCAAGCCGGAGCGAATGTAAGGCAAGAAAGCAGCAGAGGGAGTTGCCTGCTGATTTGCAAGCTGGAGAGCCAGAGCTGAGGGCCAAAGCAGGCTAAAGGCAGGCGAGCAGCAGAGGGGCATACCTGCTGAGGTCTCCACGCTGGTGCACTGGAACCAGAGGGTGACAGAGGACTGAGGGCTGGGGAACAGGTGCAGGGCCTACTTTCTGGCCTATTTAAGATGGGAGCTTAACAGAACTGGGGCAGTGCTGGATGCTCCCTGATGAGGATGAATTCCCAGCAGAAAGGCTGGGGGGTTGCAGCTGGAAGCGGCTGTCCTGGCAGGACAGGAGAGGACTGAAGAAGAGCCCAGGAGAGGTGGAAGGCTCCTGAGTGTGGTATGTGCTATGTCTACTGACCAGATCACATGGGATTTTAAGGACTGCATGGCGGCGGGGCGTGAGAAATGGACTATGTTTCAGGACTTTTGTTACAGATTATTTGCACTAGAGTTTTGTAATAAACTGGCCCTAAGGAGGCGTATTACTGAGACAAGAGAGCCTGTTGTGAAGTCATTAGAAACTCGAGGGGGGAAGTAGGACAGTAAACCTGGTGTTAGGGTGCCCATCCGAAAGGGAGCACTCTGGGTCAAAGGGGAATTGTTGACAGCTGCTTTAGTATATTTGAAAAACCATTTAAAGCAAAAAGTGACCGGGACAATATTGTGGACAGTTATACAGCATCCTGCATTGCTTCCAGCCGAAATAAAGCCCCATTGGAATGCTGCACTGGTTTCAAACCAAGGTTTTGCTGATGGTCTCTATGGCCTTTCGTCATTTAGGCCTGAGGTACACAAATAGCCATTTTGCTGCTCACAAGGCAAGAGAGGTCAACCAGGCTGTCGCTGCTCTCAGTTGTCCATCTGAAATGAGCTGGGGAGTGGGGCTGCATGTATGCAACATCCTCCCTGCTGATGTCTCGTAAATCCCTCCTCTTCAAGGCTCAGCACAAGGGCTTTCTAGTCATCTCACGCTAACTTTGATCACTTTGGGGCTCTATTTTTACAAGATTTTCCTTTTTGCTGTTGCTCTGTCTGGGACCAATCCTGAGTGCCATAAGTAAATGTTAAAACAAATGGAGGTTCATTCAGGCAAACGAAGCAAGAATTTGCAACACAAAGCGGATTCTAAGCTCCATGACACTGAAGTAAAAACAAGACTTCAGTGAAGTCAACACAGTTACTCGGATTGAGATTAGACTCTGGCCCCTGTCTGCACATTAAACAAATAATTGCAAAGTATCTGGTGACCAGAATATTGATAAATACCAGCTTGTGTAATATCAGTTTATATAAGAAGCAACTATGATGTCACTAAGGCTGGATTGTGTTGTCATTGTGAGGGTGCAGAGAGACAGCAAAAAGCTTATGCAGCACCTCAATCCTTATTTACTGTAAACCCTATTTTGAGGGCTTATGTGGGACTTATGTGGTGCCAAGACCTTGTGCAGGTCCTATGTACAGAGGTGAATTTCACCCTGAATGAGTAAGTGTCTTAAAGTTCGCCTCAGGTGCCCCGTGTAAACCATCACTGGGCAAGATATTAACATTTTTAGCAACTGATCCTGATGGATCAATTCAGCAAAAGACAAAATAATCTGTCCAAAGCTGAACTGATCCCTCACAAGGTGTTAACGCTATTAGCAGCGGCAGGAATGGCAGTTAAACGGATTAGCACACGAAGCAAAGGAGGCACGATCCACGGCCAGATGGCGCAGCCTCAGACCTCAAACCCTGCATGGAGACACACGCCAAAAGCAGGTGAGCGGGAAAAAGACATTCTTTAGCACCCCAACTACAAACTAAGGCCATGGCCTCTATCATTAAGAGTGTAGCTCATAGTAGACCTACTGCAACCCGTAAGAACAATAATGGGGAGGGGAGAGAGGGAATGGGGGGACAAAGAACAGGTTTTGAATTGCGACATGCTGTCACTGGCTACCCCTGTCAGGTCTGTGATCTCAGCCTGCTCTCAAGAGCTCAGTCTACCCTGAGAAGTGGAAATGGTCCATGGATTGAAAGGGGACTGAGTAGCCACAATACTTTTTCTCTCATTCCCAAAGAAAATATGATTTGAGAACAAAAAAAAACAATTTCTAATGAAACAGAATAAACAACAAATTAAACAATACAAATTCTGAAGAAACAAGATTCACAGGAAGTGGGGGCTGGGGGGGAAAAAAGAGTTCTGCAGAACTGCTGGATATTCTGTAACGAAATGTACACAAGACGCCTACGCAATTCCTAGTTCTATCCAGGCATTACAGATCCAGCTACTACAGATGTAGACTCTAAATTAAGCTTAGAAAAGAAACAGGCATTTATCTCTTTAGAAAAATCCTCTCATCCTCTCCCCCCCTCTGCTGATGCAGCCATGCCATTCCTCAGCATAAACTCCATGGACTTCTCCCTCAGTCCCTAACCATTTTTTAAAACATATTGCACATTCTTACCTGCCTACTCAGCCTGGCTCCTCAGAGCTCTCTGGCATCAGCCCTTTTCTTATCATCTTCTCTACTCTGAAACTCTTGCCTATGTCTCCACTGACTAAATATTTACAAGAACATAGGAACTGCCATTCTGGATCAGCCCTGAGGTCCATCCACTCCAGCACCCTGTCTGTGACTACAGCCAGTACCAAATGCTTCAGAGGAAAGTGCAAGAAAGCCCAGAATAGGCAGATTTGGGGTAATCCATCTCCCCATGAAGGCCTCATCCTAATCCCAACTAGTTGAGAGATTGTCTTAAACCCTGATGACTGGTTTTGTATCCTTTCCGAAACTCTTCTTTTAGTGCTATAACAACTGTGGATATTTTGTTATCCATATCATCGTCCAATCCCTCTTTGAATCTTGCTAAATTCTTGACCTCAATGACACCCTGTGGCAACGAGTTCCACAATCTAATCATGTGAGTGAAAAAGCATTTTTGTTTATTTCACTCACCAGAATACCAATTTCTGCAGCACCAGGCTTCACGCTGTCTGTTAATAGGCTTGTGCTAAGTCTTCTTGTTGATTAATTGTATTATTGTAGCACCTAGGAGCCCTAGCGTAGAGGGGCAGTCATCCCGCTCCAGTGTGGAAGGGGTTAAAAACAGCCCGGGGAAAGGGCTGCCCCGGGGAGCCAATCAGGAGCGGGCTTGAGGCAGCCAATCAGGGCCGGGCTGGGAGTATAAGAAGGCCTAAGGAAAGAGCTTGGTCAGAGTCTCTCTCTAGCTTTGGAGGGAGAAGGATGTAGCTGCCTGGGAATAGGGTACTTGAAGCAGATCAGTGCTGGGGAAGGGCAAGAGGAGCTGGGGAGCTCCAGCCTGGCAACCCCCCCGGGCTGAGGCCTTGATAAAGGCCTATGTAGGTCTGGGAGGTGCAGCCCGGAAATAGGCAGAGGCAGCTGGTCCAATCTCCTTGCCAGTGATGACTGGCCTTTACAGACTGTAGTTTGCTCCAGTGAGAGGAGGGTAGATGATGACTGGCAGTAGCCACTGAGGCAAGGTGGGTGTAGAGGGTTGGGGGTTCCCCTGCCTCTACAGGACGGGAGACCCAGCATGTGGGGGTACTGCGGTGAGCAGAACCCCAGGGTAAGGGGGTCTGGGAGGAACACGGGGGCCTGAGGCAGGTGAAACACCGGCCACCAGGAGGTGCTCTGTGTGCTGGATGAGCTAATTCCTAAACGACCAGCAGGAGGCGCTGTGTCGGTGAGTCAGCGCTCTGCTACACCTAGTCATTGACCAGGACCCTGTTGTGCTAAGTGCTGTACAAACCCCGAACAGAAAGATGGTGCCTGCCCCCAAAGAGTTTACAATCTAAGTCAGGGGTGAGCAAACTACAGCCTGTGGGCTGGATCCAGCCCCTCAGGACTTTGGATCCGGCCCGTGAGATTGCCCCCTGTGCCACTTCCCTGCGGCCCCCCGGGCAGGGGGGGGTAGAGGGCTCCGTGTGTTGCCCTTGCCTCCAGACACTGCCCCCCACAGCTCCCACTGACCGGGAACAGGGAACTGCGGCCAATGGGAGCGGTACCTAGAGGCACTGCAAGGGCAATGCACACGGAGCCCTCTGCCCCCCCTCCCCCAGGGGCCGCAGCGCTTCCTGGAGCGGCGTGGTGTGGGGCTAGGGCAGGCGTGGTGCGCCGCTGCCACACCGGAGCCGCTTTAGGTAAGCGGCGCTGGGCCAGAGCCCAAATACCTCCTGCACCCTGCCCCAAGCCCCGTGCCTGCACCTTGCACCCCTCCTGAACCTCAACTCTCTGCCCTGAGCCCCTTCCTGCACCCCTGTGCACCCCAACCCCCTGCCGCACCCCGCACTCCTCCTGCACCCCAACCCCCTGCCCTGAGCCCCCTGTACACCCTGCACCCCCTGCCCTGAGCCCCCTCCCGCAGTCTGCACCCCTTCTGCACCCCTGCCCTGAGCCCCCTCCAGCACTCTGTACCCCAATCTCCTTCTGAGCCCCCATATGCACCCCTCCTCTGCCCCAGTCCCTTGCCCTGAGCCCCTTCCTGCACACCGCACCCCCTCCCAAGCCCCTCACTCCCTTCCGCACGCCAACTCCCTGCCTCGGCCCTACATACAATTTCCTCACCCAGATGTGGCCCTCAGCCCAAAAAGTTTGCCCACCCCTGATCTAAGTAAACAAGTCTGTACAATCTTTGTTACAGCAATGGCTGCTGATAACTCTACTGGTTATGGGCCATTATGGAGACACATTCCAAGGACACACAGAATAGAGATTTTAAAAAACAGGAAAAGCATCTACAAGGAAGTGAAACTTGGTTAATCCTCTTTTGCCAGTCGGATTTATACAAGCCAGAGGACGCAGAAGTCCCAGCACTGGACTGACATCTCCATAGCAGAGAACTGGTGATATTTTTTAAGCCATCATTTGCAGAAGCATCATTCTGCCTCACAGTTCCTGATGTGATGCTTAAAGAAAAGGAATTCTTCCTTACACGTATTTAGTTACCGATATTCCTGGGTTTGATTACATCCTGCCAGTTTTAACCTTCAGTTGCCTGAATACATAGATTATGAGATTACTTAGAATAAATCTGTGTTAGACCTACACGTCTGTCCATTTAAAAAAAAAAATTGATACTGCTGCCTTGTCTGAGTGAGTGGAAATGGGATTACAAATTGCACGATGGTCAGAAATTTCTACACAAGATCAGTTTGACTTTAAGATACCCCAGCAGTAGAGTGGAATTGATGAGTGACCAAATTAAAACAACTCATACTGTTAACTGTACATCAGGTACAGCAATACTGGAACACAGCTGGAATGCCAGATGAGGCATTTTTAAAAGAATATTTTCTGTTTAAACCCTCAGCTAAAATAAACAGAGGGATTGAAAACATCATCATTTCTTCATCTCGTTTCCATGTAGACTGAAGAGCTAGTGTGGTTCTCTTCTGTTATTGGAAAGGATGGGGTACAATAGACTAATGAGGAATATTATACAACTTCTCTTCAACACTCCAGTGCAAAGAAAGAGAGAGAGCTGGGAACCTCTTTTTTGTAACTAACAGTTTTCACATTTCCGATTATATTCTTAATCATGAGGAAAGATGTGGCGTCAGAGAAGCTTTGTGTAACCTGATACAAATCAGAACAGTCCGATTAACATTCATATTTAAGACAGTGACAGACCACATGTTAGTTACCACATGAAGGTACCTTGTGTTTGTTCGGCACAGCCTAGCCATTTTGAAATAAGACTGGCCAGGCTATTGTAAGTACAGTCACAATACACCTGTCATGGGGAACGAACTTAGATCCATTAATGCCTCTCTCAGTGAGAGCCCATTATCATCATCTCCTTTGCAAAGGAATAACTCACAGAAATGTAGCTTGTCATGAGATGTCAAGAGGAGTTGCACAGACTCTGACAACTGCATTACCAATGCAGATTACTGCTGCACAGAGGTTTTCTACTTCTCCCGAGCATAACATTTCTATTTGTCCTGACTCCTGAGCATGAAATTACCAGGTTTCCACTCTGTCTTGCTGGACGATTGCCCTGTCCCAGTTCACAGAGGAATCATGAAGCCTCTGTCAATTGCTCTCTTGCTTTTAATTCTCTCCCACACTTTGTCTTGTTTCTTTGCTCTGCTTGAACCCACATTCTGGTCCCATTGTGACAATCACTCCTGCCCACAAGATCCAAATAGCCTTCCTGATCGATGAAGGTGACAACAGGCCACTTGTCCCCAGTCTGTTCTCCTGTACTGCGAAAAGTGCAAATGACACCAGCTCCCAGGGGCAGCCCTCCCTCTCAAATGAAAGCAACCTGGATAATCAAGCTCTGCCTAGCAACCTGCAACAAAGACATAACCCAAAAAGTCTCAGATAGGAGAGTGTGATAAGGAATGGTAGTATTCCTTCAGTCTGTGTTTTAAAGTTATGTGTTTTAAGAGTAATACAAATCAATTATAACAAAACTCCATCCACATGTTAAAGTCTTAATCTAATTTTATATTACGGGCCCTAAGAATACTTCCCCCAGGTGCCAGTGTGCCTTGGTATCAAGTATAGCTGACTGAGATTTTGGGAAGTTTTCATAACACTCCTTGTCACTAAACAATCCTGTCTTCTAAAATGTATTAAAGCTGGACTCCGCTGTTAGTCATTTCTCTGGGCTAGAAGAGAACACATCATTGAACTCTGGGACTCAGGAGACCAGGATTCAGTACCTGGCTTGGACAGTGACCTCATATGCAGGGGTGCTGGAACTAGCGGGGCTAGGGGTGCAGCAGCACCCCCAGACTTGAAGTAGTTTCCATCATACACAGGGTTTACAGTTTTGTTCAATGGCTCTCAGCACCCTCTCTATAAAAATTGTTCCAACATCACTGCTCATATGTGACCCTGGGCAAGTTGCTCAATCTCTCTGTACCTCAGGTCCCTATCTGCAAACTCAGGATAAATAATACTTCCTCTCTCCCAGCCTTTATCTGCATTGTCTAGTTAGATTGTAAGCTCTTCGGGGAAAGTGCCGTTCCTTACTATGCGTATGTACAGCACTCGTCACAATGGGGCCCTCCACCTGAGTCTGAGGCCCCATGCACTACTGAATGAATACGAGTTAAGAATATGAATAATAAACAATAAGATCAACGGGGACCGCATCTTTAAGATAAGTGGGACTTACTGAGCACTCAGTTTGTCTGGCAACCACACATTTTAAATCTAAGTTATAGTGTGAACCAAAAATAATCATTCCATGCTAATATTCTTATACTTTAACTTACCAATAATAGATTTTGATCAGTGCAGAAGGCCACAGGAGAAAGGATGCTACAAATGCCAGAATGGGGATAGCCAGAGTGCCTCCTGCTATAACAAACATGTTTAACACATCAAGGTCCATGTTGTTCTTTAAGGCTCTACCTCACCTGCATATGTCAAATAAGAATAGTGAATGAAGGAAAGGCTGCCAAGATAAGAGGAAGGCATTAAACATACAACAGATATTGTAATATACAACAGATATTGGTCAGGAATACAGAAAATTGTTTTCAGTTTTAAAACCCTATTTCTTCCAAACCTAAAAACTGCACTCTCATCTTCTCTGATCGAAGTTAAAGACAGCTGGTCATAATTTAGTTGCTACGGCACTTTGCAAAACATAAATTCTCGCCCCCTCCCTACCATCATGCTATCCCGAATCTGAAGACTGGGGTAAGAAAGCTCTGACTAAGCATTCATTTAACCCAATTAGCCTTCCTATCCTCCATACCAAGTCTGAGATTCACAGCATACAATATCAGACCTAAAATTCAACCTCATGTGTCCTGGGTCAGACTTATTTCTGCTTTAGACAGGCAGCTGTTAATCAAGGAGCAGAGCCTCTTAAAGGTCTCAAGAAAGTCTGGGAAGGACACCTGGCATAGCGTTCTTTGTGTACAGGCCCTCGGAAGCCTCAAATTGGTCCCCTTCTCTGAGAAAATACCAGAGCATTCAAATCCTCATACTAGACTGAAAATATATTGTTCCCAAGAGCTATGTTAAAAGGGCCCCTGCCAGAACCTCAGAGTGCTCCAAATGCAAGATATCAAAGAACTTCCATGTTCTGGGATTGCTAATACAAATTGCTTTTCAAATGCAATCGTCTGTATAGTATAATGTGGGATTCCTTTATTTCTATACTCTCATCACTAAACAGCATGCATGCACTTTACTACTGAAGGATTAAACCCTGTCACACAGACATCCTGGGCATATCCCTTAATTCCTGATGCTGAACATCTGCCGTACCATCCATTTCTCAGTGCTAGCCTCCTCACAAGAATGAATCATAAATCCAAGCATATTTAAATTCAAGGTTCACTAACCACCCATCTCCCAATGCTACTGCTCAACTTCTCACAATAGGGCCCATGGATAAACCTACTTCTGTTTGCTCCAGATGGGTTTGATTATTTTGAGGTGTTACAATAGTTGCTACAGCTGGTATAGTACATTGCCGAACAGGAACCAAACACTGTATTTATAATCTATTCTGAACTGGAGCTGTACTACTGGGCCATCTTTTATATTAAAATTCAGAAACATATTTAAAAATATAATGGCTAAGCTTAGCTGGGGGAAAGCGTGCTGAAGAAAATGTTCTGTTTGAGCACAGCTAAGGAACAGGGACAGTCTAATTTCCAAGGGCATTATCCCAGAAGTGCCCCAGGCACTTTCCCTACTCAGGGCCATATTGTGAATGTGTAAAAGGTTGAAAAAAGTATGTAAAGGCTCCCCTCCCTTTACCCTTGTGCAGGAGAACAGCACACTCCCAGCCTGTATCCTCTCCAGACAGGAGGATGTAGGATCTCTAGTAATTCAGTGGTGCTATAACACCTAGAGGTGTGAGCTCCCCCCACCCCCACTTTATGGCCTAGCATAAGGAGTTTGTGGGAGAAGGCAGGGAGCACACACTGCACGCTTTCAGGGGATATAGCAACAGCTATACTCCACCATTGCTCCTGGAGGCAATGTGCCAGCTTTGGGTACTGTGCCTTAGAGCAGTGTTTTTCAAAGTACAGGTCGCGACCCAATACCGGGTCGTGGAATGTCAGGCACTGGGGCCTTGCTGGTTCAAATTATAACAAAGGAGCTCTAAAGGGCCACGCAGCAGGGACTTGGAGAGGAGAGAGCTAGGGGATGAGCAGGAACTGGGGAGGGGAGCAAGTTGGGACTTGCAGGGCTGCTGCAGGCATCTGCCCCAGCCCCGGAGCTCGCTGCTGCCGGCCGGGAGAGGGACCCTTCCCCAGGAGCTCCGTGCAGAGAGAGAGAGAGAGGCCCTTCCCCTCCGTGCTGCCTACCGGCAGGGGGAGAGAGGGGCCTCTTCCCCCAGACCTCTCGGTTCTGCCTGTTGGCAGGTGGAGAGAGAGACCCCTCCCCCGGAGCTCCATGCTACCGGCGGGGAGAAGGCTGGGGAGAGTCCTCTGGTCCCAGCCCTAGGGCAATCTGCCTGCACACCAAACTCCTCATCCCTGGCCCCACCCCAGAGCCCACACCCCCACCCAGCGTCCTCACCCCCCCGCATCCCAACCCTCTGCTCTGCCCAGCCCAGAGCCCCCTCCTACATCCTGAACTCCTCATCCCCAGCACCACCCTAGAGCCCTCACCCCCAGACAGAGCCCTCACTCCCACACCCCACCCTCTGCCCTACCCTGGGCCACCTCCCACACTCCTTACCATAAGCTTACTAAGGCTAGTGTTAGTTATGTAAAGTGGGTTAAGCTGGAATGTATTGCAATATTATGATTTTATGAAAACTCTAGTCAAAAGATATAATTATGTTGGGTCACGGGCAACAACAATTTTCTTCAACCACTGCCTTAGAGTTTCTGCTTGGCCAAGGCACTTCCCCATTTTGCCACCTCATGCACTATTTAGCTGTTGCTTGGCTGTAGATCTCACAAGTAGCACATTTAACTGTGAGGCTGGCTTTGTTAACTTAGACAGTAGGTGGGTGTGCAGCAGATGGAGAACATTGACTATAACGTCTTTCAAAAAGACATTAATTTATTGAAAAACACCCCACTCTCTGATTAGAATTTAAACATAACAATCAGAGTCTTTAAAAGCAGGGCTTACTGTTCAGAAAAGCCTCTTCCTCCTGGGTACAGCTGCCACAGGCCACCGGTACCGATGATGTTCTGAAACAATTAAAAAAGAAAAAAGTAAATTATATTCCAGTGCTTTTTTCTTTCATATTTAGTAGAGAGATGCTGTTCATTTCTGCTGTTTGAACCATCAGCAGCACTTCAAAGTACAAGGTCACTACCCCCTGTTCAACCTTTCCCATTTTATATCACTTCATGTAATAAAATAATATCAAGACACTAGTTCCAAGCATGTACAAAGTGCAAGTCAACACGCAGGACAAACACTGAAAAAGAGTGAGAAGATTAAAGCATTCTGAGCCAACTGAAAGAATCCACTTAACAGTAGGATCTACCTCATCAAGCCCAAGCATTAGGAAATTTAACAATAATAGCTTGGCTGAACTGAAGGAAACAAGGAAGACGGAAACTTAGGATCACAACTATCATTAAAAAAATTAATACAATTAAATCACATTAACTAAAACTCAGTCAGGTTCCCGCTATTCCTATTTATTTGAAACCCTCTTCCCCAAAAATTTTATATTGCCCCAAAACCTTTTGATAAATGGGGCTGTAATGTATTAGAGAGATGGACGTTTCTTTGTACTCCTACAATAACAGATTGAGCTATCTTGATGAGTTACTCAGTCAGCAGCTCTAGATAAAGTATCATTCAAGTTACAGAACACACGGAAAGACATTTAATGCACAAACAGCATTTGATTTATGTCTATTGTAGGGTCTGAAAGCCTGGTTCAGAGTTCCAGTTATTTCATGTGATTCCCTTTAAAAAGGGGTGTGCTGGCTGGGGCAGCAACCAGGAAGTGTATTATTTGTTCCAATTGGCTGTTCTGCATTAGAGTTCAACAAGCAAAGATGTTTACCAGCTTCCTGTCTGCAGTCTGTTCTTGGGGTAAGCCATGGCAGCTGTTACAACTCATATGATTAAATATTCCCAATGAGCATTACACTATTCAAGTAAACATGTCCCTCGTAAACCAAATGCGTCTGACAAATCTGAATAGAAATATTGTATGCCTTTCTCGCAAGCTCTAATATAACACATGTATGTATACATGCAGGTACAGAACGACATGTGCATGTTTTCTCTTTCCATTCCGGATATAAGACTGATGTAATTTGAAATTTCAAATCTAAATCGGGGCAAAAATACAAAATACTAATGTTTCCATTACTATAGCATTGGGTTTTATTCTTCATTCACTGCCACCAAAGTAACTCTACTGCCTTCAACTGACTTACTCCCAATTTATACCACTGTAAATAAACATTTAAGGTAGTTTTATTTAAAAAGAATAAATTGCTGGTTTTTGTGCAGTTTGAATTTTCAGCCAAGTAGAGGTAGACACAAATCACAAGTAAAAGATTAATCATCCAGTCAATAAGAACTGCATCATTCATTCATCATTTTCAAACATAATTAAAAATAAGAATTAAGAATCTGAATCAATGTAAGTTAAACTATACAATTGCTTAAATAAATGTGTAATAAATTAAATAGCGTAAGCTCCTGGTTAGCAAAAAGAAGTACCAAATTTAGTGTAAAAGCTTTATTTAGTTGCAAACCAACATATTTTAATGGTTACCTACCAATGAGAATCAAACTTGCTTTAGGAAAATAGAAAGTACACGATTTAAATTGATGGCTTAAAAAAAGGTTTCCTGCTTGCTGATTAAAATCATGATTAAAATCAGTGATTTACATTGCTTTGATTTAAATCAATCCACCCTATTTACTCCTGAGGGCATTCTGCACCAAAACATTATAAATTCTGCACACAATATTTTAAAATTCTGCAAAATTCTGCAAGTTTTTTATGTCAATAAATAAATGCAGAGGCTCCAGCATGGCAGTGGGGAGCACAGGCCTCTGGCTGCACAAAGGTGGGGAAAATCACCCTGCAGGCCCCTCACCCCTGGGACATGGACTCAGCGGTGAGGCTGTACACGACCCTTACGCAGCACAAGGCCTGGGTCTGCCCCAGAAACACCCTGGGGCCCTGCCCCTTTGCGCCATGTGCACCAGGTGTGGGCACGCAGGCTCAACCAGGCAGGATCCAAGTGTGGAGTGGCTCAGTGTCAGGGGATCCAGGTGTGGTGTGACAGGATTCTGTGTGGGACAGTCTGGATGCAGGCAGCTCAGTGGGGGGGGCGGTTTGGTGTGGGGGGATCTGGATGCACACAGGCTTGTTGGGGGAGGTTCCAGGTGCAGGGGCAATGGGACTCTGCAAAGGCTTCCAGGTGAAGGTGGTTGGGGATCAGCGGAGGGATCTGGGTGTGGAGGTCATAGTGGGGGAGGGGGGATGTCTCAGTGCTGTGGGAGTTGGGTTTGGTGGGGTGGGTAGTGGTCTGGGTGCAGGGATAGGGGTCCGGAGGCAGGGGGTCTGCGTGCAGGGGGACTGCAGATGCAGGGGTTGAGGTTCAGTGGGATGGGGTTCGGGTATGGAGGGCTAGGGGAGTTCTGGATGTACATGGTGAGGCTTGGCAGGGGTGTCTGGGTATGGGAGGTCCGGATGCATGAGCATTGGGTGTATGGGGGAGCAGCTTCCCATACAGTGACCCCTCCCCCCACAGTTGAGGACCAATGGGGGCAGGAAGCAGGGTAGGATGCTGAGCTTCCTGCAGCTGGGGGAGGTTTCTGGGGGTGGGTGTGACACAGCCCCAGACACTCCTTGCAGGGGAAGAGGAAGTTGTTTCCTCTCCTGCCTCCAGCCCAGCTAGGACCAGCAGCTGATCCTGGCTCAGGGTGGGAGCTACTGGCTGGGGTGTCCCTAGCCCCGTGGTAATTTACCTCTCTGCCAGCTGATCCGGGTGCATGAAATGATGTACCTGCTCTCCTAGGGAGTGGTGCATGACTGCTCTTGCAGCTTTCCTTTGGCCTTGGCTACACTGGCGCTGTACAGCGCTGCAACTTGCTGCGCTCAGGGGTGTGAAAACGTCCCCCTCCCCCGAGTGCAGCGCTGTAAAGTGCCAGTGTAATCAGCGCCTGCAGCGCTGCACGCTCGCTCGCAGCGCTGCACGCTACTCCCCTCGGAGAGGTGGAGTACTTACAGTGCTGCGAGAGAGCTCTCGCAGCGCTGGCGGCGCGACTACACTCGCGCTTCACAGCGCTGCCGCGGCAGCGCTGTGAATTGCCAAGTGTAGCCAAGGCCTTTGTTTCCCTGTCAGGAAGTAATTTTTCTGCGGGAAAGCGAAGAAATCTGCGGGGGACATGAAGGGTGGTGCAGAATTCCCCCAGCAGTACCTATTGCATTCCCTAGATTCTGGGGAGGGTGGTTCTCTCCCCAGCCGTCTGGGGCTGTGACAATAGGCAAGAACTATCACAGCCCACCACTCCTTCACCTTGCCTCACACCCCGTATGCTGGGAGGGGCAAGGAGGGCAGCATAAAATCATACAAGCAAAACCATATAGAGAAAATTAATTCTACACATCAACCCCCAAACCGCAGGTAACAGTGGCACTGATTCAGACTAGCAATCTACTTAAATGTCTTTTACCCTCCAGAAAGTGTCTTGTTGACTGTGTTGTTTTTTTTTTTTAAAGAATAGAATTAAAAAGGCAACAAAAATTTTATAGCAGGAGCAAACTTGGCTTCCTGCACCACATGTCATGCCAGCAGGGACCAGGAAGAGTGTGGAAGCAGCAAACTTAGCCCTTAGAGAAAGGATGCACTTTGTTTTGTTCTTCAGCAGCCACCTCAGGTGGCTAGGTCGTGTTTTTTAGCCCACAGTAACACCTAAGCGCTTAACAAAGACAAAATAACATTACTACTATTAAAAAGGCAACACAACAAAAAAAAAAAAAAAGAGGATGCTAATTTAACCAGCACAGAAACACAACAAGCAACATTTTGATTCTGTCAAAATTCAATTAAAACAAAAGCCAAAACCCATGACTTGCACTCATTAACAGCTGCACGTCACTGGATCACAATCTGTTCTCAAAGGCTAAATTATCCCAACGAGAGCTTTGTAACCAAGTGTTGTTTGCATAGCAACATATGGGAGAAAAAACACACCACTCTGGGCTTCTACAGTGCCTTCCTCGCAAGGTCCTCAAAGCACTTCCTAAACATTAATTAGGCAAGCCTAGAATACAATACCAACGCAAGGTGGGTAACCATGACATTCATATGCAAAATGGAAACACTGACGTTTACAATGAGCTAGCAGCAGAGCTGGGACTAGAACCTAGGAGTGCTGCTGCCCAGGTTTGAGCTAACCACTGGACCACATGCCTCTAAGATTAAAGCATTCTGTAGAAAGGGATTCAAAATAAAACCCTGTCATCCCAAATGTCTTACTGCTGCCAGAAACAGCACATATGTGAGTGACAGAAGTAACGTAGGTGGTGAAACAGGACTTAAATCGTTCAAGAGAAGTTCCAGATAGTCCCACAGAATTTACCCAATAGCCCCTTCATCCAAAATAATCTAATGAATAATTATCAAAAGCAGAAGGAAGAGCAAGGAAATTTATAACCAAGCATTCGTCAGGTCAAAAATCATTATTCCCCACTTGAACTCAATTAATTGGACAACCTGTTCAAATGTAAAAATGTAAGTTTCAAAAGTACAAAAGCTGCTACTTACTGAAACATAAGAGTATGGCAGAATAACTGCATTTCAGCAGCACTGTTAGCCAAAAGACTGACTGGTTAGTCTGAATGAGTTTTAAATCCTTGTCTATAGTCTGTCTTGTTCCTTGCTGGCACGCAAATTGGTATAAGAGAATTCTTGGGGTATAAATCAAATGTTTATTTTGATTTTAACAAGTTAATCCCAAATAGGCTTCAAAAACAGCACACTGTGTGGCACAATTAAAACAGAGATGCCTCCTCACCAAAACTAAATTCATCTGAACTAGTTTAATATTGTTTATGAGATCCAAGGGGGGGGGGATTCAAATCCAAATCAGTAAAGTACCAGAGCAGCATGCACAGAGCACTGATACTTTTCATTTAGTATCACCAGTTTTTGTACAATGTGTCTTGGGGAATGTTACATAACCTACACAGCAAACTCCTTTTGATGAAATGGTGTTTAGCATACAGAGGATAATACACACCGCTGGGAGTATTGACATACCAAACAATTTTTGAATTCAGAAGCTAAAAACGTAGGTGAGAATTTAGAGCTCAATTCAGCAAGGGAAGAAAAAAATCCATCTTGTATGCTGCACGAATCTGTGCAAGGTCATGGGGGACTTTCTTTCTGTAGAAATCACATATATATCTTCATTAAACAGGCCCGCTGAACTTTAATGTAGCCATTATCAGTAAAGAACTGTGTCTGTAAAAATCAAAATCATTTTGGATATAGTCTATATTTAGCTTAATGTTACTTGGGTCCAAAGCACTCCATTTCTGATTTACATGGCAATAGATTTTTAAATTCAAAATACTGAAAGTTAAAAAAAATTAAATGCATCTTATTTTTATTTGAAATATTAATAGAGAAGAAACAACATAATACAAATGTAAGACCCCACTGAGGAATTTTCAGGCTATGATAAACCACAATAGCAGAGAGTCTGTCACCAGAACCCCAACCTGAACTAGCTAATAACACCAGAAAAATTGAAGTTTCTCTTTGAAACCATCTTCTGCTTAGAATGCCATATATATAAGAAATAATTTGATGTACCATTTTGATACTACTATAATTTATGCCAGCTGTTCTGACTTTTCACACACGTGCTATGCTCCGCAGTCTTTCAGAAGCCATATAATTGTATAATGTAAATTAAAATCTATTAATATTTGAAATGCGATGGAGGGAACTGCTTGTCCAGGAGCCACTTAGCTATCCTGCTTAATCCAGTCCTGAGAGGGATGGAATTAAGAAATGCAACTGTTAGACTTTATTTACAGACTGCTTCAAGACCAATACATAGTTTTTTCTGAGTTTGATAGTCTCTGTATCTTTGACCTGTTTTTATTTTGTGAAACACAAGAGATACAAACTGAAATAATAATTTGGATGCAGTTTCTAGCCCAGTTTTTTACTATCAGTTATCAAACCACAGCAACAACTGATTACTGGTACTTGTCAACAGCATGGTTAAAACACCGTTGAAAAGCTTAACTGGTACTGGCTGTGATTCCAACAATAGCAGCTGGCTTAAAGACACAGAGAAAAGTCCCCTTCTTTCTTCCAAATCCAAAAATAATCTCCATCCCTTATGTATCTGCATATACATCAGCATCTATAAACGCACATTTTAAGCGGTCTACACAAGTTGTGTAATTTCCCTATTCATTTCATTTGTATATCTGAAGTTATCATTGCTCATATATGAGAAGATATGAATGTGAAAGGCTGGGGAAGAGATTGTATGCTTTCCCCCAAATAAATCAAAAGAATGGCTCCAACCTAACCAGATTCTGAATTTCTTTCCAAGTATATAGACATTGATCAAAGTAGCATTTAGACTACACCATCTGATACGCATAGAATTTCATTTTGGAAGAAGGCAGGTTCTTCCAAATAATAGACATGGATACCACTTTGCTTTTCCAATGTTAAAAATCAAGAGAGACATTTTTATGTGGCTATTTATCTACTTTCGAATTAAAAATAGTTACAGTGAGAACTTAAAAACTTTTTTTTAAAATACCGGAACTGTATAGGTGCTCATGAAGATCCACTGATTTGTTAAAATATGAAAGACATACATATATACAACACACATACTCCCTCTTGATTAAATTGTCCTATTACTTCTAAATGAAGCTAAAATGGTTCAGACACAATACAGTAAGCAATACATAACTAACAAATCCTTCCTGACATATCAGATTTCTCATCTGCATCTACAATGACCAGACAGCAAGTGTGAAAAATCAGGAGGGGGGGGAATAGGTTGCCTATATAAGATAAAGCCCTTAATATCAGGATGGTCCCAATAATATTGGGACATCTGGTCAGCTTAGCTGCATCAGAAATTTCCACTAGCCTTCCTCCAATCTGGCATTGTCCTTCATTAAAGTCTTAGATCATAAAGCAGCAAAATCCCCCTCCCCTTTAGGCTTAAAAGTCACAGATTAGTAACAACTCTTCCTTTTCAAAAAGGAAACACTAAAACACACTATTTTAAATCCTGGCCCAAATTTTGAGATCTCGGAGATGAAAATTCTGCATTACACATATCTTACTCTGTTATAGAAGACGCTCAGTGTTGTTTCCACTGGTGCTCAGGAGGTCATGTGTAGGTACTTTGGTTTATACTGAGTACATCAACAGACTGCCCTGTATTAAAATAGATTAGGAATTTTCCACTGAAAACAATCCCCCAAAATGCTTTTGATTCTCCCAGATAGAAATGTGCCTTATACCCTATAAACTCAAGAGAAATCCCACTCACTGTGCTCATTGCTCTCTGAAATAAATATTTAAACTCAATTTAAAACTCCTGCAAGCTTAAACATTCTGTGCCTGTCATTCTGATGGCTAGAGAGCATTCAACAAACTTCACCAGTAAACCATTTTACTTACAAAGCCTACAGTTTTATGCCTGGTTCATATCTGAAGTGGCACAGGGATCTGTGCAAAAATCTTGTTTTAAAAAATTCAAATAAGCCAATTCCTGAGACCCACATTAGAGAAGAACCAAGAAAATCCCTGCAGCCCACAAGAGAGGTTGGGGCACTAAAGAATTCACAGGCCCTTCTTCTTGCTAGAACCACAATTTAGGCAATAAAACGAACACCTAACATTGTTCAACAGTCCGGCAATACCAGTGATGTCTCATCACAGGTGTAAATTCACAGATAGACAAACCTGGTGTTAGTTCTTATATAATTGTGGTAAATTCCTGAGAACAGTCATGCTGACTCAGGACATGATAGCTAGGGGAAATGTTCTAGAACAGAATCCCATCTAGTTCCACCTTTCCTGTAAGATCGCCCCCGTCCCAGTAATGATGTTTTACAATGATTTAGCACAACAAAGCGCTTTACACTCCACACGCGGGTGAGGTCACATCAAAGCACCCAGCCGAAAGGCAGCTACTTCTGGGGAGGAGCGTGGCTGTTGCTAGGCGAAGTGCCCTGCTGGGACCTTTACCGCCTCTGCAGAGTAACCAGGTCCAGGTCATGCATGTGCGGAGTCCGATTGTATTGCGGTGCCCGGACCGGAGGCAGGGACGATGCCTCTAATGTGCCCGGGGGGGTGGGGGGGGCAGGTGAATTTGCGCTCGGGTGGCCACATGCTGCCCAGGCCCGGCTCCCGTCAGGCTTCAGAAGAGCCACATACCCTGACGCTCCGGGATTTGCCCCCCGGCTGCACCGGCAGCTCCTCTCCCCGCCCTTCCCCCAGCCCTGATCGCTGACACTGCGCCTCAAGCCCCGGCACCGGCACCAGCCAGGCTGCCCCCAGCTGTTTCCGCCGCCGCCTGCATCCCCTCCCGGCCGCTGCAGCAGCATCCTCCCCGGCACCCCCATCCACGGCCTCCTAGCTCAGCCCGTCCTCACCCGCCCGGGCTCTCCGGCTCCGCCGCGGCGTCCCCCCGGGGCCGGCCCTGCAGCAGCTGCCCCGCTCCGCTCGCGACGCCTCCTTCGGCTGTGGCTGCCCCGGGCTGCAGCCCCACAACTGCAGCGCGGGCTGCTTCTGTCTCTCTCTCCCTGCACCTTAAAGGCAGGGAGCACGGGAGCCTCCCCCTCCGACAGAAAATGCTCTGGCTCAGTCTGAGCAGCAGCCTGCCCAGCCCCCCGGGCCAATGGAATGTGTCTTTATAAAGCTCCATCGCTTTATCCACTGTTCGAGCTTCTCTGCCTTAGCCAAGGGCTGGTGCATGGGACATAACGCACAGATACGGGCTACCGGCTCTTGGCATGCACCCCAGGGGGTCAGTGATTAAGGGTCCATCATGCTGCACTGGGTCTGCATTTGGATTGTTTTGTTCCAGAGCTGAACAGACATCATCACCAGAAGCGGCATGACATCATACTGGGCACCACCACTAACAGGCTGCTACAAAGTTGATGGGAGGCTGCCATCCAAAGCTCTCTGCCTAGGGTACTTCAATCGCCGCCCCAGCTGGGCTTGCTCTCCAACCAATAAAGCAGCCGTATGTGTCACTGAGTTAAGGTACACTACACTACTGTAATTAAAGGGACACTGGCAGGTCAAAAGCCCTATTATAAAAAAGGTTTCCTTTTCTGTGCTAGTAAGAAAAGTTAAGGGTTATACAACGCAATGAATAGCGAAACATCCCATTTATTTTTCACAGTGAATACTTGGGGGGGGGGTGGATTTTTGGTTTTGTTTTATTTTGCTCATTTTGAATAGTGAAGGTAGACTATCTCGTTCCCAATCAGATTCACCTTTTTTCTAAATACAATAATGTAGTAAACTGTTTAACTTTTTAAAAAAAACATCTCTAAAACATCTTTAAAATATCTCTATTAATATTAGATTTTGTGAAAATCTAGATACTAAATCTAAACTCTTGAAAATATCCATTAAGAGTTTGTCAGCATTTCCACAAAGGAAAGCAAAATGGGCACTTGCCATTTTCTTTCTTTTTTATACATCTAAAGGCTAGTAAAGTTTGGGTTAACTTTAAAATAACCCTGCTTGCTTTTTAACATTAGAACATCGGGTCCTGCCTAGGCTGGAAAACTCTGCTGTGATCACATCACAAAAATCAGGCCCTTGATCTGGGTTTACTCAGAGTGCATAAAATTCAGCACATGCCTAAATCTTTGTAGAAGTGGGGCCCAAGAGGAGCTGTGGGGAGCCCCAAGCCCTTTAAATCCTGGCCCCAGCCCAGCCGCCGGAGCTGCGGGCGGGATTCAAAGGGCTCTGGGCTCCCCGTTGCGGCGGGGAGCTCCGAGCCCTTTAAATCCCCGCCGCGGAAGCCGGTGTGGTCCGGCACGGCATACTGGCTCTTTCCAGTACGCCGTACTGTACCGGACCAGACCGGCTTACTTTCACCTCTGCTAATGTGGTACCTATTATTTTAAAAAGGAGCCAATAGAGATCTTGGGAAATGCAGACCAGGGAACCTGACCCCACTCTCCATGACTTCCATGACATTTTCTGCCCCAGGGCTGGAGCTCCGAGCCCTTGCCCTGGTGTGAGGACCCTGCAGCTGTCCAGCTGCCGTGGGGAGCGGTGGACCCCGCAGCTGTCCAGCCACAGTCAAGCTGGGGGATCCTGCAGCTCCCAGCTGCCCCAGGGGCAAGGAGACCCCACAGCAGCTCAGTCTTGCAGGCAGGGGGACCCCGGAGCTCCCACACACCGCAGTGGTAGAGAACCTGGGAGCCCCAGCCACAGTGGGTGCTGAACCCCTTTTGTCAGAGATATTTTTAGTAAAAGTCAGGGGCAGGTCATGGGCTGCCATGAATTTTTGTCTATTGCCCATGACGTGTCCCTGACTTTTTTACTAAAAATATCTGTAACAAAAACTTAGCCTTACAGATAAGGGATATCTAGGGGTTGTAAGTTTACTTGGAACTTCAAAAGTCTTGTGATAAAGTCCCTCCTAAAAGATTTAGTTTAAAGAAGATAAGAGATTATTAAACCACAGTAAGGGTTGAAGTCTCATTGTGGGTAAAATCTAGTTAAACTTCAGAGCCTTCTCCACATGAGAAAGTTGTGCTATATATAAAAAAAAGTTGTGCTATATATAAAAATATTTTTTAAAAATATAATGCTATAGTTAAACCAGTGCACACCCCTGTGTGGACACTTATTTTCATTTTTGAGTGGTTCATTTTGGTTTGTCTTAAACAGATTCCTAATCAATGTAAGCTAAAATACATTGGGGGAGTGAGGCGGGGGGTTGAGAGGAGCGTGACATTGAAGGCAGCTGGCAGAGTGCTATTTGAGATGCACTAGGTGCTGGAGCCTTTAGGGCTTTATAGCTGCAGCACTTGATTGAGCATGGTGCACCTGGCACCACCAAAGACTCTTTCAGGACAAAGCCTAGTACCACAGCACTCCAGAGACCACATGCAGAGGCAACACTTATACAAGGTGGAGGGAGGCTGAGGACCAGATGGGACATTACTATGGAAACTGAAATGGCTGTGATGCTAGGAAGAGCCAGAGTTGAAGTCAGAAGGGAATATGAATAGTGAAGGGGGAAGCCAGTTGAGCAACAGATCACAGTGATATGTATGGGGGAGATGAGATGGAGTATTGTTCAAAGGAAGAGGAAAAGGGGGAGGAGGAAGGTCTCTGGGAGAGCCAGGAGGTGGAGAGAGTGGGAGATGAAGAAGAGTTCTGAGCATTCCAAAGTAAACAGGAGGAGGGGGAGGGTGGGGACAGGTACGAGGTTAGAGGAGGAAGGACCCAGAGGTACCCTGGTGATGGTGAGGAAAGGTGTGGGAGAAAAGGGTGAGGACTAAGGCAGGGCCAGGGTTGGGGCAGCCATCACCAGAGAGAAAGAGAAAGAGGAAGCAAAGGTGGAGTTTGGATTTGAGAGAGGGAAGAGCAACAGGAGAAGATAGAGCTGGTGGGAATACTAAAAGGGGGAAGAAAGAGAAGGTGTTGATAGTGGGAGAAGGAGAAAGAGGAGAAAAGGCAGAGAAGGGTAATGGTTGGAGTCAAGAAGGAGCTATAGAAATGTCATTTATCTTCCCTTGCAGCTCAGCCCATGGGTGGAGAGGAAGTTTGGTTAATTCCACCCGCAGTTCTCCATCCTGGTGGTCTGTCCCTGGAGCCAACTCTTTGTACCAGAGGAGGGATAGCAAGATGGTGGCACATCTGCTGAAAGCAGCTTTCAATCTCTGCATGTGACAAGGTAGATACAGCATCTTCACCAGACACTGCCTTTGATCACCAGATCTTTCAGTCTGTCATTCTTCCTTGATCTGTCTCAATTCATTCTGCTCTTTCCCCATCTGCCCCCATATCCCCCAACCTCTTTATAACTCACCGCAAGTGACTTCTTATAACAGAGGAATGCTCTCATCTGGATTTTTTCCCACCCTCATACCTAGCTTGTTTGTGTTTTGTAGGATTTAAAGCTTTGGAAATATCTTGATTGGGAGGCAGTTCCAGACCATATATCTATCTGAGGTACTGGTATGCCCCCCTTTACTATCCTATCTAAGCATCTCACAATCTTCACAATATTTCTCTTCACAACACCTCTCTGAGATAGGGCTGTGCTATTTACCCCCATTGTACCAGTGGGGAAGCCAGGCACAGAGAAGCTAAGTGACTTCTCAAGGTCTCCCCAGAAGCTGCGGCAGAGCAAGAAGCTGAACCAAGGTCTCCAGAATTGCAGGCTAGCATGCTATCACCTGGACCATCCTTTGCCTATAGATGGGGGGAGCAGTTTGGGCACTGAGAGTTTTAGTTGTTTCTATGGCCTTTGTGGACATGGTTAACCCATCCACCAGTCTAAAGAAAAGAATATTCCTCTGTTATGTGAAGATATATTTCTGGTAAATTCAAATTGTCTGTTTGTATCCTAGCAACAATGAATCAGATCCAGTCCTGTATTAACTGTCTCATAGCTTCAGTTAAATTCCTGGCTATGCCCTAAGATCAGTTCAGAATATTTAAACAGAAGGAGAATCTTTCATCACAACCAGCCCAGGAAAACTTCTTGGACTGAGAGTAATTTTTAACCATATTTGCTACGGGACAGCAGGGATAAGCTGTCCTTATACTTAGGAAAGATCTAGGAAGCCTGTTTATAACAGTAAAATGATGGCTACCATCTACAGTCCATACAATCTGGCAAACTAAAATTAAAGATCAGTCTGCAGTAGTCATCTGCTGGCGGGGGTGAAAGTAAGTCCAGTGTCTTACCAGTACGCTGGGACCAGCTCTGGCCCCCGGAAGGGGCGGGGCCTAGGGCGGAAGGGGCGTGGCAGAGGGAGTCAGAGCCAGTCCCAGCCCACCCTGTAAGGTAAGTGCCCCCCTCACTGGGGTAGCAGCAGCAGCCCGGGGCTCCGGGGGCTATTTAAAGGGCCCGTGGCTCCCCTGCTTCTACCGCCCCGGCCCTGTAAATAGCCGCGGGAGCCCTGGGGAAGCGTCGGGGCTCCAGCGGCTATTTAAAGGACCAGGGCGGCAGAGGCAGCTGGAGCCCCAGACTTTTTAAATAGCCCCCAAAGCCCCGCAGCCCTACCCCAGGGCTCCGGCAGCGGGGCTCTGGTGGCAATTTAAAGGGCCCGGGGCTCCACCCCCTGCTGGGAGCCCCAGGCCCTTTAAATTGCCCCCTGGGGAAGCTGGGCCCCTCCGGTACGGCAAACTGGCTCTTGCCAGTATGCCGTACCGGGGCATACCAGCTTACTTTCACCTCTGTCTGCTGGTGATTCTCTTGTAAATAGATGGTTAAACAACTCCATTTGCCCCTTCATTGTATATATTACACCATTGCTCTTCACTATTACTCAGTATATGGAGCATCCACCTCTGTTGAAGACCAAGACTCTGACATCTTGTGTTGTGAATTAATTTGTTCTGTAGGCAAACTGCCAACTAAAAGCTTCCTAAGCCACAATACTTTAGTGTCCGAATTTGTGCTGAATGTTAACTGCAACATAATACCCCCAACTCAGTGAACATGGAAGTCAATGATTTATTTATGATCCAATTTATTTACGATCCAACATGTTTTTTAATCAGAGTAACTACACAATTTA